TGTTCAATGATGTTTTTCTTAAATTCAATTGTATTTCTCACCTTCTTTACCAAAGGCTTGCCACTAGGAGTTTTCTTTGGAGCCATGGTAGCTTATTTAGCACTTGCGAGCACTAAAATGAATGGAATATTATGAAATACAGTGGACCCTTGCCTTATGATATTAATCCGTTCCTGAGAGCTCATCATAAGCTGAAATTATCGTTAACCAAATTAGTTTTCCCCATAAGAAATAATGGAAATCAAATTAACCCTTTGAGGGTCGGCAGGCCCTCTCAGAGACTTATCCTCAGGATCGCCCAAAATTAAAAAAAAAAAAAATAATTTTTTCTTATGAAAAGGTAGTTTTTTTTTCTAAACATTATTGGCTAAACAAAAAATTTTTACCATCAACACTTACCGAGATGTGGAGACGTGAAGTTAACAGAAAATGCCCCATGTATGGTATCATCGCCGACTGCAGTCACCCAGCATTATTTATTTTTATTTTTTAGGTATTATTTTCTATTATTTTTTAATTTTTTTTTTCCAAGTTACTTTTATGGCCTGTGAGACCAATATTAGCACTATGTTATAAGTTTTTTCTCTTTATTTACTACACAGTAACTCCACTAACACTGTTGTCCTTATATTGTTTATAATTGTTGTTTTCACACACAAATGATATAAAATGTTGTTTATTACTATTTTTCTATATTTTATATACACATATACAGTCACAGGGAATGTTTCTAGAAGTTCTGCAGCCTGTGGAAGTCTTTGAAACATGGTGTCATGCACAGTGGTGTTTTACATTCCTCACACATAAAACGAGTGTGTCTGCGTTGTTGTAGGGTTTTTTTTGTATGTGCACAGACGTAACACCTCTTCTGAGCCTTTTTCTTGAAAGCAGTAGCAGGCAGTTTTACTAGGAAGTGATCACCATGCTTCAGACAAGAAGGTAGTTGTTGATAATTTAGTGGGCGGTCTATTGCAGGTGTTGTTCCTTGGTACTTTAATACTGTACTATTTGTCTGATGACAGACAAACAGAATTCGCCATATGGTGGTTTGTTTCTGGTCCTCATCTTATACATATTATAAGCATTGAGCATGGAAATGTCCAGAACATGGAAAAAGAGTTTTATGTACCACTTATAACTCTTGCAAACACAGTCAGCAAACCCAATCTGCATGTCACATTTGTCCACTGAGAGCATATTGAGGGTGTAATCAACCACAGCTGCAGGTTTTAGAATGGGTTCATTGCTTTCTCTATGCTGCCTGTCAGTGTCTGTCATTTCATTAAGGTGAACTGATGACAACAGTGTGACATCTCGTTTGTCATGCCACCGAAATGCCATGATGTCATTGGCAGCAAATGCTTGCACCTCACCTCTACGAGTGCCAGTGTCAAACCTGGGCATATGCTTACGATTTGCACACACTGTGCCACACACATCTGTCATGTTCACTCGCAAAAAATCACTGAGTGAGGGGGCTTGTGTACCAGTTATCAGTATATAATATATGCCCCTTACTAAGGTATGGTTCTATCATTGTTCTAACAACATCACCAGAGATGCCCAATAACTTCCTGGTATTTTGCAATGTATAACTTCCAATGTACACAATAATATCCAATACTAGACTACTGTAACAATCACAAAGCACAAACAACTTTATACAAAAAGCGTTTCCTCTTGCTTGGTATGTACTGCTTGAAAGAGAGTCTTCCTTTGAACAGAATCAAAGACTCATCAATTACAAGCTTCCTGAAGGGACAACTGTCAAGCCGGACAATTATCGAGGGACCACTGTACCAAAAAATTTAAACCCTTGAGTAGTGGCCCAGTGGGAAACATGGTCGACAGCATTCTGGAGAGAGGCTGCTACTAGGTGGCAGTCAGCACTTGCACAAGCTGTAGCAAAGTCATCAACATAATGTGATGACCAAATATTAGATGGTAGAACAGAGGTTGGATCATTAATAACTGATAGAAAATGAGTGGGGCTAAGGACACATCCCTGAGTGATGCCTTCAGCCTGGATGTAGTCAGGGGAAGGCATGTTATTAACCTGAACACTGAAGTGTCTCTCAGACAAGTTTTTCAGGAAAAGTGGCAGATTGCCTTGGAGGCCTGAGGAATGAGCTTGGGCCAAGATGTTATATCTCCAAGTAGTGTCATAAGCATTTTCAAGATCAAAAAAAGACTGCAATAACTGAGTAATTACTAGCAAAGGTATTATGCACATACATATCTAAGTGGAGTAAGGGGTTGATAGTGGCGGGGCCCTTAGGAAAGCCAAATTGACGAGCAGAAAGACTATATGTGTATCTCTAAATACCACACTAACATCTATTTACTAACCATTCCAGCAACTTGCAGACTGCACTAGTAAGAGCAATGGGTCGATAGTGGGAGGCATCATGGCCTGAAGTACCCCGTTTAGGAAAAAGAACAATAGCAGTTTTCCACAAAAAGGGAAAAAAAACCTGCGACCAAACGAGATTAAAAAGATGTAAGAGGACTATGAGGCTGATGGATGTAAATGCTTAAGCATATTAATATGAATGCCATCAGGTCTAGTTGCCAACAGTCGGCAAGAGGAAAGTGTTGACTCCAGCTCTACAAGTGTAATAGGCACATTGAGACTTTTCTGCTAGAAGTCTGAAGGCAGTAATGCTCTTGCAGACTTGGAGGAAAGAAATGAAGGGTATAGATGGAGCCCCTGCAAGATACAGACATGATAATTTCTAATTGCTGTGGCAACTTCAACAGGGTTGGTAATGTTGACACCAGCAACCCTAAGAGTGGGAGCAGGGTCTGGAGACTCTTAGAAGCAGAAGTACCAGTAGAAACAATCCCTCCAACAAGTGTGTTTTGCTTCACAAATTGCACATTGGGCAGCTGCCCTTGCCCACTTAAAATCAAGGAGCCCTTCTGTAGTCCTATTGTAAGTATAATAGCCCCACATAGCAAATTTCAAATGCACTGCACAAGCACAAGTATGAGACCACCAGGTATGCATTTTTGAGAGCACCTACTCAAGGTTTGAGGGATTGTTTTGAAGCTGAGGTTAAAACGTGGGTCAAAAATAATTGTAATAGCTGGAGTAGGTTCCTCACTACAAATGGTTTGATACGACTAAAGGGCCCAATTTATCCATTCAGACTGCCAGCATGAGCTATAAGGAGGAGGTTCATGGACATGGATCTCCATGATAGGTTTATTTTTTCCAAGAAAAGGGGAGAGGAACATAGAGGGGCTCCCAGGAGAAATGAAAGGGGCTGTATATCCCCCTCTGCACCCAAGAGGGCCCTCAGCACACCCAGTAGTGCAGATGCAGCATAGAACCCTTCATACTGGTAAACCAGCGATCCAGGATAGCAACCTCACATCCAATGAACCACCTCGTCAGACAAAAGAAAGGGCGATCAGGAATCCGCCACAAGGCATACCCCATCAGCCACCACCTCCCAAAACTGACAGTCAGCCTCCAGAGGTACACCTGTCACCCAAAGGACATCGAAAGCCACCCTTCAGGACTCCAGAAGGTAGCTTTTGACACACCCCTAGATGATCCAGATTCCACAGCAAACAACACCACCACCACCACCACCACCAAGCGTCTCACCAGAATGGGATGGACAACGATACCCTTTCCCCAACCTAGGAGCTTGAATTTTGGAGAGGACCCCCAAAGGCCAAATGCAGGAAAAGGAGATGATAGGGATGGAGAAAGGAGGGTTGGGAAGGATGGGGCAGGAAAGGAAGGAGTAGACAAGGAGCCCCCTTGAAGTTCAACACTGTAAAATACTGTAATTGTTCTTATAAGGTCTTTCTGTTTCCCCTACTATCATACATATTGTCCACATAAAAAATTTCATATGTTCCACTTAATTAATAATTAAATGGTTAATATTAAATTACTAAAAAGACAAAGAAATTATTAAAAAGTCAAAGAAGGAAATTTTGAAGTTGGGCTATTGGAATGGGTTTGGGTGTAGTATAGATGATAAAGAACTGATTGTTCATGCTATGAATGAAAATAAGCAGGATATTCTTTTATTAAAGGAAGCAGCTATAAGGGATCAGAATTTCATTGGGAAGGAGGAAGAGGATTGGATCAGGTGTATCAGAGAACCAGTGCTCTCTATCTCAGTGGAGGGTATGTAAAAGTAACAAAAATTCTAGGCAAGGAAAGATTGCATATCAGATTGGTGGGTCAGAGTATGTAGGAAGTGGATGTATTTAGATGTTTGGGAGTGAACAGTTGGCAGATGGATCTTTGAAGGATGACATGAACCACAGAATAGGGGTGTGGGAGGGAGGAAAAGTAAGTGGTGTGTTAGGGCATCTGGGGAAAGAAAGACATTTATCTATGGAGGCAAAAAGGAAAGTGTCCTGAAATATATTAGTACCAACACCTTTATGTGGGTGTGAAGCATGTTGTTTGAATGTTGTGGTGAGGAGGCGCATAGAGCCTGTCTAGATGTCATGCCTGAGAGAAGTGTGTAGTGTGAGTATTGTGTAGAGGGTTTAATTTAGAAGACTAAGGAGTGGTTGTCTAGGTGGTTTGTGCAGTTAGAGAGGATAGAGGAGGATAGGATAGATGGGTCAGGATTGTCCCAGGCACAGTTGGAAGGAGGAGGTAATAGAGATTTTGAGTGTTAAGGACTTGAGCATCCAGTAGGCTCCTGTGAACAGTTACAGGTAATTATGAGTCGATTCAGCAAACCAATTATCTAAGTTTGAGTCCTGGAGGTGAAAGGGACAGTGCCTGAACCCTGAAGGAGGGTGGGGATGTTGCAGTTGAAAGAGCATTGGAATTGTGATGTCTGTACACTTTTGGCAAGACAGCAATTGCAGATATTTCCTTTTTTTGGGTCACCCTTCTTTAGTGGGAGACTGCTAAGGTAAAAAACAAATTAAATACATTGATTGGTTAAGTGACTTCTGGTCACTTTAATGTGAGTATCCTGTATATATTTTACCATATTCCTTATATTATGCCTCAGCTCCCCCACATCCTCCGGAGATTACACTTCAGTCCACAACTACCAACAGCATTGAAGTAAAGATCAAGCCTTCTGCAATTGATGATACTACACCTATCCATGGTTACACAATCTTTTATAAGCCTGAATTCAGCAACTGGGAAAGCGTACAGGTTCCATCCTCAACCCGAACCTACACTCTTGAAGGTCTCTGGTGTGGATCTCGCTATCAAATTTATGCTTCAGCATATAACAAGTAAGTTATTTTTTTATTTGCATCTCATTGGTATCCACCTCCCAGGTGGTGAGACCTCCTAAAAATGAGAAAATATATATTTTTATACAGTGATACAAAAACGTTGCAATGTAAATATGAAGCTAAGTAATATGTTGGCCATTGTCCTTGTGGTTTGTAGTGAGTATAGTCCTAATACAGTGGAACCCCGACTAACGATATTACTTCAATCCAGAAGTCTGCTCAGGTGCCGTTATAGACCGAATTTGCTCCCATAAGGAATATTGTAAATTAGATTAGTCCATTTCACACCCCCAAAAATACACCTACAAAAGCACTTACAAAAATACACTTACATAATTGGCCGAGTTGGGAGCTGATCGTTAGTCGGGGGTCCACTGTATTATGTAGCAAATGAAATATCTGCAGTAGTACACTAATTACCTTTTTGATTCTTAACATCCTGTAACTATACATAGGTAATCAGTTTGTATTGGATAACATGGACAATCAACTTCTCACGAAAAAAAAAAAAGTAACTAAAATGCCCACAAATAATGTATGTGATTTTGGTCATATTTGTTTATTCCACAAGCACTTAAAAACTGAGTAGTGTTGCCAGGGTCTTAAGTCTGTCACACCATTAGGGAACTTCAAGGTTCAAAGCATGTCAGATCAGCAGGGAAGGTTATGGTACCCTCTGTCACAGTGATAAATTGATAATTTGTATTTAACCCTTATCCTTCATCATGTGATCTCATGGTCAGTTTTAGTGTTAGTGATCATATGAACATTTTCCAGTGGGTCTTCTTTTGGGATTTCAATGAGTATTAATACCAGTCATTGAATAGGGTTATTGTCCACCATTTCATTTTGTTGGACTACCAGTGAATGGGTGAAAAAGGATCTCTCTCTCTACATTTTAAAGCACAGGGGTTGTCTTTGCATTGGTTCACACTCAAAATCTTGTAAAGTATTGAAGCAGAGAGGCAGTGTGGGACAGTCTTTGGCAGTTTTGAACCCAGATAACTGTCTCATCTACACTAGAAAATTGCTTGTGGTTATACATAAGAGCATAAGAAAGAAGGATCACTGCAACAGGCCTACTGACCCAAGAGGAGCAGGTCCATGTTTCCCCCCCGGATTATCCCAATGACCCACCCAGCCTGGTCATCTCCACTCAAGGATGGAGCACTGCACCAGACCCAGCATCACAAGCTAGTCAGGTCAACTCACACCCACCCACACCCACTCATATATTTATCTAACCTATTTTTAAAACTACACAACGTTTTAGCCTCAATAACTGGACTCGGGAGTTTGTTCCACTCATCTACGACTCTATTACCAAACCAGTGCTTTCCTATATCCTTCCTGAATCTGAATTTTTTCAACTTGAAACCATTGCTGCGAGTCCTGTCATGGCTGGAAATTTTCAGCACGCTATTTACATCCCCTTTATTTATTCCTGTTTTCCATTTATACACCTTGATCATATCCCCCCTAATTCTACGCCTTTCGAGAGAGTGCAGATTCAGGGCCTTCAGTCTATCCTCATAGGGAAGATTTCTGGTACATGGGATCATCTTTGTCATCCTCCTCTGTATGTTTTCCAGAGCAATTATATCCATTCTATAATACGGTGACCAGAACTGAACAGCATAGTCTAAATGAGGCCTAACCAAGGATATATAGAGTTGAAGACCAACCTGAGGACTTCTATTATTTATACTTCTAGATATGAAGCCAAGAATTCTCTTAGCTTTATTGCAAACACTAATGCACTGTTGTCTTGGTTTTAGGTTACTGCTAACCAGAACTCCTAAATCCTTTTCATAGTCACTAGTATTAAGATCTACATTATTTAGTTTATATGTGGCATGGTTATTTAACTGTCCAACATTTAGAACTTTGCATTTGTCAATATTAAACTGCATCTGCCACTTCTCCGACCATTGCGTCAGTCTATTCAAATCATCCTGGAATGCTCTAATGTCCTCATTAGAATGAAATGGACAGCCTATTTTGGTGTCATCAGCAAATTTGCTTATGTCGCTATTTATTCCCTCATCTATGTCGTTTGTGTAAATTGTGAACAACAACGGGCCCAACACTGACCTCTGAGGAACACCGCTTGTGACGTGCCCCCATTCTGATTTCTCCCCATTTATGCAAACTCTCTGCTGCCTATTTGTCAGCCATGCCTGTACCCAGAAAAAAATTTCTCCTATTCCGTGTGCCCTAAGTTTCCTCAATAGCCTCTGGTGTGGAACTCTATTGAAAGCCTTACTGAAGTCCATATACACAATATCATATTCATTACCATGATCTACCTCTCAAACACCTTAGTGAAAAAGTTAGTAAATTCGTAAGACAGGAATGCCCCTTTGTAAAACCATGTTGAGATTCATTAATCAATCTGTGCCTATCAAGATGGCTACGAATTGCTTCTGCAATTATTGATTCTATAAATTTTCCCACTATGGAGGTAAGGCTTATTGGTTTATAGTTCGAAGCCAAGGACCTGTCACCTGCCTTGTAAATAGGTATTACATTTGCCATTTTCCTCTTATCAGGCACTATGCCAGTTTGTAGTGACATGTTAAAAAGATTAGTCAAAGGTATGCTAAGTTCCTTTTTACATTCCTTTAACATCCTTGCAAACAGTTCATCAAGACCTGGGGATTTGTTAAGTTTTAGTTTCTCTATTTGTTGAGGACATGTCACTATTTTACCGCAATCATACATAGTTTATTTATCATATGTTCTACAAAATCTATTATTTCAGGAATATCGCTAGTATTTTCCTGGGTGAAAACTGAGAGGAAGTAGGTATTTAGAATTTCACACACATTCTTATCACTGTCAGTGATCTGACCAGAGTTACTTTTAAGTGGGCCAATCTTGTCCCTAATCTTACTTCTGCATACCTAAAAAAGAACCCTTTTGGGTTAGTCTTTGAATCCCTTGCGACCTTAGCTTCATAATCCCTTTTTGCTTTTCTTATTCCTTTTTTTATTTCTCTCTTTAATTGAATATATTGATTTCTTAACTGCCCATCCCCTCTTTTGATATGCCTATATATGCCTCTCTTTTGACCAGTGAGATGTTTTAATCTATTGTTCATCCATTTGGGATCATTTTTTGTTTGATCTAATTTTTCCCCACTTGGAACAAAAGTTGTCTGGGGCAGCTAGTACTATGCCCCTGAAAAAGTCATATTGGCAAAACCCAAAATCACCTACCTGATCCATAGTCAGGACATCCCAATTTAGCCCACCCAAGTAATTTTTCAGTCCCATGAAGTCGGCCAAGTGAAAATCTGGGACAGAGATTTGATTGCAGTTATCTGGGTAATTCCATGATATATTGAAACTAAGTGATTTGTGATCACTTTCCCCAAGCTCACCATTAACCTCAAGATTATTAGTTAGTGACTCTTTGTTGGCAAGAACCAAGTCAAGCAGATTGTTTTCTCTAGTTGGTTCTGTCACAAACTGTTCTAAAAAGCAATCCTGAACCATATCAAGAAAGTCACTAGACTCAAGATTTCCTGTCATATTGTTTCAATCAATTTGTCTAAAGTTAAAATCTCCCATTATCACAACATTTTCATATCTAGATGCCTTATGAATTTCATCCCATAACAGCTTACTGCCCTCCCTATCAAGGTTTGGGGGCCTATAAATCACACCCACAATTAATTTGTCACGTCCCTGGAGAAACTGTAGCCAAACAGATTTTGTGTTCGATGTTTCTAATCTTATATCATGTCTAAGACAACAATTTAAATTTTCTCTGACATACATCGCCACACCACCACCCTTCCTGTTGACCCTATCAGTGTGGAATAGTTTATAACCCTGTATGTTGCATTCAGAAGGCATTTCTCTATCTTTCAGGTTGAACCAGGTCTCTGTTATAGCAGTAATATCTATATTACCTACACTTGCAAGTAATTTTAGCTCATCTCTCTTATTTCTTAGACTCCTACTATTTGTATAGTAAACCTTAAGGGAACTAGTCACTCGTTGCCCTCTACTATCTCTGTTTGTTGATCAATTGATTTGCCATTACTAGCAACTTTATTTTGAATATTGTCTTTTAAACATATCCCTAAGGTATCCCGATAATAACTGCTGTTTTTATTTATTAACTGCTGACCTGTACTTATCCAGCAGCTCCTCTCTCCTGCCCTTCCCAGTGTCATTACCCCCAGCTCTAAGACAGATAATGGGCTTGTTCCCATTACCTGCCATAATATTATCCAACCTGCTGACTATGTCACCAACACCAGCTCCAGGAAGACACACTCTCTGTCTGACCTTTTTGTCTCTGTTACAAAATGCACGGTCCATATATCTTACCTGAGAGTCGCCTACTATTAAAATATTCTTACCTTGATTAGCAGGGGACTTAGTGGTACCTTCAACGTCACTAACCACTGAAGTACACTCGTCTTGAAGAACAGAGAATCGATTTCCTACCTTCACATCTTCTCTATTAACTCTCCTCATCTTCCTTCTTCCTGAACTGTGAACCACTTGCCACTTAAAGCAGCTGCCACTATCACTGCTGGCGACCATTCCTTCCTTACCAGCTAAATCCTTCTCACACTCGCTCCCAAACTCATCTATGCGAAGCTTCAGCTTCCTATTTTCCTCCTGAAGAAGTAGAATCTCCTTCTTCAACACTTGAACCTGAGATTCTAAAACACTACAACAAGCCATGGTATGGGTAACAGCCCACGCTATCTCCCAAGAGCTTAGGCAGGTATGACCACACGTGACCACTGACCTCGCTTAGCAACGTACTCATTTACCGAATACTCGGACTTACAACGGGCTCTACGACCAGTATGCATACCTAAATAATGTACATTAGATCTGATTTCCTCTATTCTGTTTGTTTATTACAATATACAGTATACTACTGTATAAACATTTAAAAATATTCCAGAATTGTTATAAATGGTGCAGAGGTGACATTAAAACAATATCAAAGATGGTTGACACAAACCC